CATATATGTATACACGTGTATAATATATACTTAAATATATATACTTTATAAATATGTACTTTGATATATATATGCTTTAAATATATATATGTATACTCTTAGGTATCAAAAATATCACCAACACCCCAAATTTGCCTTTACTTCAAGAGTAATTAAGAAGATCATAATTCTTAAAGAAAAAAGAAAAGCGCTACCAAATCTCATTCCCTGGCGGCAGTGAGGGGGCATTAAAGGTGCCCGAAGCTGGCTAGCAGGAGGGCTCGGACGGTTCGCGTGCCTGGCGCCAGTCACTGTGTATGAATCTGTGTCCTTGACTCGCAAATTTCACCGCTCAGGGGAGGATAATGAACTCTTTTCTGTTCCTAATTTGTAAAGATATAATCTTTAGTTAGTGCTGCTATGGTGGTGCAGAGGCCTGGGTCATGAACCCAAGGAGGTCAGGGCTCCAACCTCTACTAGGGTCTCTCTCGTAAAAGCAAGAGATGGTGGCCAACTGCGTGTGCGGGTTCCTCGGGTTCTCCAGAAGAAAGGGCGTGTGTGCGCCTGTGCGTTCAGTACCATCGTACGGTCCCTCTAGAGGTCTCCAGAAGCTGTGGCTTTGCCATCCCCAGGGAGGGCAAGGCCTAGAACGGTCCGCAGAGCCTTGGGCGCACGAACCCTGGTCTCCCAAGTCTACAGAGCCGGGGCACTCCCCAGCTCAGGGCCGCCCTGGCGGCCAAAGCGCGGTACTGGTTCTGCCAGTAGGTGTCGCTGTTCCCCTGCCGGCGGGAGCAAGGAACCCTGCGCGGGGCCCCAGAGCCAGTCAGTCTTCTGCGCCTGGCGGGTTCACAGGCCCACCAGAGCTCCGCAGAGAGGGCCGTTCGTCCCCGCCCCCACCCCGGGACCATGCCCTCGCTCACCTGGCCACGACCGCAGCTACACTGCCGGCCTAAGGAAGCGCCTTAGGGGAGAGAAAGGAGGGACAGTTCCATTGGGGCGAGACCTGGGGCCCCGACGTAAGCGGCTCAACGCCCGCTTCTCTCGCGGCGACGAACTCTCCCTCCTTTCTCTTCACGTGCCTTGGGTGGCGGTGGGCATTGAGCGCAACCTGGTAAAATCCCAAGCCCGGGATTCAACCCGGGCTCCAAACTGGCTTTAAAAATAAACAAGAGGTTGAAATCCCAGCTTCGTGGGGGCTAGCCACAGAAAGAGTGGATTGGCTTCAATACGTCTGCCTCAAAAAAAAAGAAGAAAAAGAAAATAAAGAAACCTGGGCCTGGCTACATGCGTGAGCCACCTTGTACACGCGTATGCACGCAGAAATGCCCGGTGACCGCGATCGCCGCCTCCGGCTCCCGCCCCCGCCCAGGAAGGAGTCAGTGTTTGGAATGCAGTTGTCTTCCCCAAAAGCGTTGCTCGCCAAGTATTATTTCCCCTTCGGAAACCTAGCAGTTAGTATGTCTTTGGAATCTGTATTGAAATGCTAGGTATTGAGAATTCTGCGCCCTTCTCTGGCGTCCTGCGGCTCCCTGCCTTCGGCCTCAGTGTGCCGAGTTAAGAGATTATTAATCAGAGGCGTTCTTTTTGTGTGTGTTTCAAAAGGAGGGCGTTTGGCTTATGAATACTGAGAGGGACATTTACAATAGGTACATCCTATAAGTAACTGGAGATTTTATTATGATTCTGATTGTTTTGTGTAGGGAAAACACTAGTCTGATTTGAAGATGGGGAGGAGGAAACCGCATTGAATAAGCTAAATTCAGAACCTCGTGTTATTGAAAGAATTGGTATGTAAAACGGAACTGGCTGTGTATTTAAATTAGCGTTTAAAATTGTATCTCCAGTCAAAACGTGGGGACATTTGCAGTAAGTTTTTTAAAAGACCCACAGTTTATCCTTTTTTTTTCTGTAAAAGTAATACATTTGTGAAGAGGAAAAACATAATCAGATACCTAACAGGATGAAAGAAAAATTCTCACTTAAAGTCCAAAATATTTCGGAACACATTTTGTTCCTGACCCTGGGCCACTGTCTCACTATCTCGGAGGACATGGCTGAACAAGTGCTGAATATTCGAGGCAAGCCTTAATTTTTATCGTGAGGTTGCCAATATCATCTTTAAATGTCACGCCTTTTGCTGTTTCATAAAACTGGCTCCTTTCTGTTAAGTCCTATATCTGTTATACAATTCTAAATAATTATTTCTGATTGAGACGGCAAATTAATCAATCGGTGACGTGGTGGTGGCGGTGGGGAGAAACACGTGTCTAATTGGAGGTTATGAAGTTCAGAGAGGTGGTATTTTTAGCTTGAAAAGTCCAAATTCAGATATTTGGGTATTTCTCCCCCTCCCATCGTTTCCCCACCTAGTCCTCATTTTACTCTCTTTCACTCAACCTTTTGGGTTCCCTCTCTCTCTTTTCTCTCCCCTTCTCGCTCTGTCTTCCCTCATCCTCCTACAGCGCCTCTCCCCTTTCCTTGCTCTTCTTCTCCTCCTCCTCATCTCTCTCTCTCTCCTCTCATTTATTGTCTGATTCTATCAGTCAAGTTAATATAAAAGTAGCAAACGGGAGGCCCAGCACCCTTAGCAGGCCCTCTCCTCGACGCGTGCAGGGCACTTTAAGGAGACGTCGGTTGCTGCCAGGTTACGGGCCCGAGTAGTGGCCCTTAGTGCAGGGCACGCTGGTTGCGGAGGAGTTGGGGTCTGCGCGGGGTTGCGGGGCTTATTCAAATACCGCCCGCTGCTGCTGTGATTCGCAGGGACACGGCCTCCATATGGTAATGCGGGGCGGGAGGGGAGGCGCAGAGGGGAGGGGAGGAGAGGATGGGGGTGAGGGCGGGGTGGGAGGGGGCTCCGGCACCGCGCGCTCGGCTGCCGGGCTGGGACAGAGCACCCGGACCCGCGGCGGCAGCGGCAGCGGCGCTACCCACCCTCTGCCCCAATACCCACCGAGCCAGCGAGCCACCGAGCCACGGGCCCTCGGGGTAAGCCACAGCGCGCACACTGCAGCGACGGTGACGGTTCACAGGCTTCGGGTTACTACCATGCACCAATAAGGGAGATTAGAAACAGAAAAGGAGATTACAGAGAGATCAGATATAAGAGGTGTACCTCTCTGTGTTCCTTGTCACACAGCGTGCGCGCGCGCGCACACACACACACGCATCTGTACACACATGCATGCTCAGATAGCCGTACATGCACACATTCCTTGCTACTGCCATCTAAATATATGCACCGACACTCTATGCCCTGCAACGTGGCCGGTGTGTTTGTCCTGATCCTGCATAAAGGCAGGCAGGTATGTGCGAGAGTCCAGGCAGGAACAAACAGCCACGCACAATTTAATTGCAGCCAAACTCAAAGAGACAGTTAGGCTGCCCAATTGTTTCAGTCAGCCAGGTGCCCCCCAGAAACTGGCAATTCTGCAGCCAGTTGTGGAATCTTGAAATTATTTTTAAAATGTGCTGAAAATGTACTTTAGGAAACGTAATCGTGCTATATATGGCAAGGTAAGGGCAAACCTGAAGGATGAGTGTGGTTCCGTTTTTTAATGTTTTACGTGTAGCCATCTGACCACTTTTTATTGGGTGACATATCATATGAGCAGTTTGGTGTAGGCTTGGAAAAACTACAGCCATAGGTAAGGCTGGAAATGCCTTAAGAATTAAGGGTGCTAAAAAATGGATGCTGGATAGTCCAGCATGAAAGATGGCATACAGCTGTAGGTTTGAAATAGGGGGAAATACATGTGAATATTTATACACGAAAGCCATTGAGGAGGGCTGAGTCTTGCCCTGAGTATCTGTGCAGGTAAGTCATTCATAAGAAAACTAATTACCTGTGCATGTACTTGGACTTGTTTAATTGAGTAAGCTGCATGTGTGCATATTTGCTGGGGTTTTTTGTGGCTATGTAATTATGGATTGAGTCTTTTTTTAAATGATAGCTTTGGGGAAATTTTAAAAAGTGGAGTATATATACATTTTTTCAAAAGCTATCCTGCTGAATAGCTATCTTGCCAGGAAGGAGAATCCAATCCTATAAACAAGATTGCCATTTCTTGAAATCTAACTCAAGGCCTGTATATTTTAGGGCACATCAACTGATTTAATATAGTCAACTGTTTTATGAGTGTAATTGTTTTCATTTCAAAGTGAGGAATTAAGGATGCTTTTCAATCAAGATAAAGTGCCTTGTTTCCAGCCACATTAAAATAAAAATGAAACTCACTAAATTTTGAATGCAGCAGATAAGGTACAACATACAACATGGTTGAAAATGTCCTCCTTGCAGAAGGCTGTCCATTGCTGTGTCTACACATTTTAAAATAGATTTTTTTTTTTTGCAATAAGAAATGCTAGAAAGCAATAGGGCGGCGAATGCCGCACCTCTCAGTCAATGAGCACAAAAATTCTTTAGAAATCTTTGGAATCACTTCACTTATACATACATTATCTCAAAAGCACTGGCCCCGTACTGTGTTTCTGCTAATATGAAGTTAATTAGACCATCAAACTTTGAGCCTTGAGCAATGGGCATTACAGCCCATCGAGGGGTATGTCAGGAAAGAAAGAGAAAAAAAATGTGTCTTTTCTTTTATGACCAAACAGGTTATACAGATGGCAATGCATACATGACAGATGTGCATATTTGTAACCTTAAACAAACAGAAGCAGGGAGACAACTGTGTATATTACCCAGCAAGAGACAGCAGCAGACACTCGCCAAAAAATAAAGACAGACAGAAAGGGACAAGAGAGACTGATAGACATAATAAAATAGCAAAAAATGGGGGGAGGGGAATCAACAAAACGATACAACCTGAAATTTTCGCGAATTAAAAAATGCAAATATACCTTTACATATGCATCAGTATTAAAAATAATACACGCTGGAACCAACAGGAGCGGGAGCAGGAGGAGGAGGTGTAGGAGGAGGAGAGGTGGAGGAGGAGGAGAGGAGGAGGAGGACAAGGAGGAGGAGGAGGAGGAGGAAAGAATGGAGGCGCCGCGGAGCCCTGATTATGCATGGGCTGGAGCTGCCTCCTCTAACCTGTTCTTCTCGGAGCCGGGCAGCCGGCGGTCCTCAGCCGCCCACAGAACAGGAGCCGAAACAACCGTTCCCGAAGGCTACAGCGTTTATTTTTCTCTTTTGGGGGGTTTTGGCGGTTGTTTCAGGGGCTCGCCAACTGGCCCCTTTAATTAAAAGCTTCAATAAAAGGCGATCGCGCCAGGAATGCACCCGCTCCAGATAGCGCAGGATTTGCATATTTTTTTAATGCCCTAATTTCCTTGATGTATGTAAATGTAGCCGGACGTAGAGGGAGACAGGGAGCTGACGTCAATGGACGTGACCTCGCAGCTAAACCTTGAACGTGAAGCCGGGATGGGGGAAAACACGGAGCGGCAGCCGGCGGAGCCCAAGAGCGCGGGCGGCGGCGGCGGCGGCGGCGGCGGCGGCTGAGCTCAGGGCGGAGGTGCCAAAGGGGCCAGTGCTGCCCCGGGGGAGGACAAGCCGCTGCCTTCTTTCTGCACCACGCGGCTTCCACCCTCGCTAGCCTTCCGGCTGCACACTCGGACTCTTGTCCTGCGCCTCCAGCCCCACCAAATACACGTTCTTTTGCTTCCCTCAGAAAAGCAACACACCCCAAAACAACAAACCAAAACCAACAGATAAGCCAAATCGAATCCCCAAATGTTTTAGGCCAATGCTCGGGTAGCTTATCAGAAAGAAGACTCTGACAATGGAACATAATTTTTTTTTTTTTTGGCTTCTTTCCACAAGAAGAGGAGGGGGAGACCACAGACAACAGCAAATCACTCCTAAAACACAACTACACGTGTTCCCTGTAGGGAGAGGTAAATCGCCCAGCCGACTGGTGGGAGCTTCTCATTTCGGTATCTATTCACCTGTTCACTCATTTATGCGCGTCGGCTTCATTAACAGCAGTGTCATGAGCGCGCGTTTTAATGTGATGGGAGTGGTGTGTGTGTGTGTGTGTGTGTGTGTGTGTGTGTGTGTGTGTGTGTGTTGGGAGGTGCTTGGGCTGGCAAACACCGAGGCAGACGCTGTGAACCAGATGAGAGACATCAGTCTTTCCATGGCCACATCTGGGACTTATCTGCGGAGCTATCTAGGTCAGAGCTTCCAGGCTGGGGTTCGAGTTCACCCCTTTGAAGGACGAGGCCTGATAAGGCTTCCCCAGAACAGGCCCTTCCCATTGCATTGTCTGGGGAAGAGGGATTGAGGTGCTAGCCATTCCGTAGCCGCTGCCTTGCCGGATTTGGCCTGGCGTTTTTCACTTGGAGCTAGGCAGCCTCGGCGCGGAGGTAGCGAATCTCAGAGACGCCGCGGGGAGGCCTTCTGCTCCCCTTCTTCCGCCCCGCGCGCCAGCGTGTGCGGGCCCGCGCACCAGGCGGGAGCCGCTGGCACCTCCCTGTGCACATCCGCCCCCGCCTCTGCTCTCCACCCTCTCCTAGGCAGCTAAGAAATGGTCCTCGGCCTCTTCTGGGCTGGGGAGCAGAACTGCCGGCAGACAAGAAAGGAGCGCCGGAGGCCGCGGTGTAGGCTTCTCAGCCTTGCCCTCGGCCGCCAAGGCTGCCGTTTCTTCGTTCCACCTCGCAGCCCCAGCTTTGTTTTCCTCATCTGCTCGTGGCCACTGGGCCCCACGCCTGCGAGGGGAGTGTGTGCGTGTGCGCGGGGGGCGGGCGCGCGCGGCGGGCGGGGGCCCTCCCGCCAAGGACACGCTTGGCTGTCTGTCCTCCGGCTGCACTTGGCGGGAAAGCTAGGGGCAGCCGGCGGGGCTGCGCGCCCGCGGTTCTCATTACTGCTTCCCCGCTCCCCCCGGGCCGTATTTACATACGGGCCACTCGTCTGAATTTTTACTGCGCTCCCCCAGCGCTCCCCCCCTTCGCCTCCCGCCCCCGGTCGCACGCGCGCAGGCTCGGAACAACCGCCTGGGCACGCAGACACCCGCGCCCAGGCTGCGGCCCGCCCCGGGCGCGCAAACAGGCCCAGGGGGGCAGACGGCCCTCGGCGGGACGGATTCCTGCACCGCCTCCCGCCTCCCGTGCGCCCACACCCCTGACAGCCTCCTCGCTCGTGTTGCAGGAAGCCCACCTTCTCCTCAAAGCCCCCACCCTTCCCTCTCTGCACATTCCCACCCCCACCTTCCCACATCTCTGCTTCTCTTCCTTGGAACACACACACACACACACACACACACACACACACACACACACACACACACACACACACACCCTTTTTCTTTCCCCTCAAATAGATAATTCCTATGGCGCGTCCCTGGTACCTTTAGAATAGCTCTGGAGTTTAGAGAATAAAAATCTTTATAATGTATTGCTTATCTTTAGCCAAACACATTTAACAACCACAACAAAAAAGGGGGGGGGAGGAGCAAGAAAGGGGGACTTGAACCAAAAGACCTTTCTTTAAAAAAAAAAAAGTCTGCAAGTCAAAAGGTCATTCTCCAAGTTTGTAAATAAAATTGCAAAAGGAGTCCTTAAAAAAGAAAGAAGAAGAGGAAAGAAGGAAGAAAGGTAGAAAAGACCAACAAGTTACATAAAATGGTGCATTGGAGAAACAGGACAGGGCGATTCTTTTAAAAATTAGCGTTGAGAAACCAACAGGGGAAAAAACTGGAGGAAAAAAGAAAAAGAGAGAGAAAAAAATAAAAGGTAAAAAAGGCAAAAGAAGTTTCCAAAGAAATGTGTGCTTTGCATCCTACAATAGGAAAATGTAGCCATTGCCCTCCTTCAGACGAGACATTTCTAATTTGTTCCGTCTGTCAGAAGGGGACTATGAGAGGTTTGGGTGCAAATTCATTATCTCTGGCAACGCAGAACGTAGTGTGGGGACTGAAAAAGACCGTGGCAATGGATGAACAATAGGGCTTCAGTTCATCAGTAACAAAAGCAGTGGGGAAATTGGTTGAGTTTCAGAGCACGTCCTCCTCGGCAGAGGGGGCTGGACTAGACCTTGGACAGCCCCCCCAAAAACTTGCCAAGCCTCGCACACACCACTTCACTCTCCACTCCGAGGCTCAGGGAGCAAGTGCCTGACGTGGGGGGGAAAAGTTGTTTTTTTTTTTCCTCCTTGGTCTTTTGCGCCCTTCTCTCTCTCCCCAGAAGGGAAGACCCGTTTAAACTATTTTAGACGCAATCAAGCAAGAATCACTATGTGGAATTGAGCGCCAGTTTTAAATGTGCTGAGGAGAGGAATGATCTGATTTTTTTTTTCTTTTTTCTTTTTTTTTTTCTGGAGACGCCAAAAGGAGCCTGTTTGTGTGCTGCGGCCGCGCTGTGACTCTGGATCTTGTCTTCTGGCCAGCGCTTCGATTCCTGCCCAGCTGGATTTGGGTGGCAACACTGCCTGGCGCAGGGCGATCAAGTGAGTATCGTGGCGGCCCGCAGGCTGCAGCTCGGCCGGCGGCACTGGGCCAGCAGTGCCCGCCGCGGCCTGGCGCCCGCACTCATCACCGCGCCCGCGAGCTGGTGCCCATAGAGCCCCGCTGCAGACCGCTCCGAGGGCCAGTCCAGGGCTTTGCTTCAGCTAATTGATTGTGTGCCTCGGATGCTAAACCTGTTGATCTCGTGAGTTTTCTGAGCTAGGACTGTTAATTATCCAGCGGCCTGACCCCCAATCGCAGAGAGACGCCAGGAAGATTTCGCGCTGGAAAAGGGAATTTTGTATGTTATTTTGTGTTGGTGGTGGTAGGACTTTTCTCTTTTAAACCTCGAGCAAAATACAGTTGCATTCTGGATTCATAATTCACATTTTGAATAATTCGCCTCCCTCTAACCGCCCCAAAGTTGCAATTACCTGGCAATGAAGCGAAGGTCTGATTAGGTCCTGGTGGAAAACTTATGTACGGTGGCTGACTAGATCTGGTTGGTTTCCACTTCCTTTTTCTCTTTGCCTTTTGGATTTTGGGAAGCGAGAGGCCGCTTTAGAGGGTTATCCCAAGTTCAGCTTCATCAGGACGCAGCCGTCTTGGTTAGTTATTGGGACTTGAGTGGCTGAGCTTCAGACGCTCCTGATATTGGAGGAGCCCAGTCTTTGCGGTTTGCTTGGAGCCCAGACCCGACTGAGGAAGGCAAGACCTCCTTTCTGTGGCCTGGAATTATCTGCGGGAACCCTTGGCGATGGGAACTGGGGCAGTGCATTTGCATTAGTGTCTGGGGTGTTTTCTCTTGCAAATGTACCCGCGGTGCTTGAATGGGGGACTGTCTTGAGAGGTCAGGGCAGCAGTGGAATTGATCAGAAGTTAGACCGGAGGCCCTGTCAAGTCACGGCCACGGCCGGGGGGCCCCCTTCGGAGCTGTGGCTGCCTTGAGCCCAGAACGGCGGGCCCAGATCCAGTTTCCTTCCTCTCCTGGTGTCCACCTCTGCCTGTCACCCTCCTTCTCCACCGTGGCACCAGTAATTAGGGCGCTGTATCAGGAAGCGAGCTCCCGTAGTCAGCATAATCGAACTAGGGCAATACTTTCATTTTGCAAAACCAATAGTCCCACCCTTCCAGTCCAAAATAACAATAAGCATAAAAAATCATAAGAGAAAAGCAACCTATTTTGGGGGAGTGTAAGACTTCTTTAATCTTGGATCGTAGAGGAATGGGGGAAGGGAATAAAAAAATCCACCACTTTACAGCAATCAGGTTTTACATTATTCATTGATTTACTGGAGGAAAGAGCCAATCAGGAGCCATAGATGTGAATGCACATCTCAACGTGCTGTGGCCTTACAGTAAACTATTTGCATCTTTCTAATACATTAGATATTTATCCAGGGATTCCCATTGTTTGAAAGGCCTGGCAATTCAGTCTCTTAAACATTTGGAAAATAAGACTTTGTCCAGTCCTAAAATCCTCACATGGAAGGACTCTCCTCTTTTGTATGGCAGGTTGCAAGGTTCAAGTCCCTAGTGTTTCTTAAGAGTCCCTCTTCCTTCCAAGCTAAAAATAAAAGAAGAAAGAAAAATTAATTTCCCACACCCCTTCAGATTCTGCATATTTTGCATTCCCATTATCATGCATATCTCCATTTAAATGCAAATTAGCATATTTAACCCTGTGGGTGCTAAGACTCAGGATATAGTGTACTGGGGTTTTATGGAATTTCTTGGCATTTTAAGGAATCACGGTAATCGGGATACTTTAAATAAAATCGTATCTGTGTATGATTTTATATACATATAAAAACTGTGATCTGTTTTTTTTGACTATTTTTCAGATGAGACTGCAAAGAAGCATAAAATGAATAGACAATCCAACCAACTAAAGGTAATTTTAAAATTTACATTTGATAAAATAGAAGTGATATACAAATTAAAATACAATAATTATTTACTAGGTAGCAGGCCTGGAATGTGTTACATATCTCCCGATTCATGCAATAGATGGAATTTCAGAGAAATCTAAGTTTCCATATGTGCAGTTTTTTTCCCCTTTAGGGAGCCTTTGTATATTGTATATCAAGCATAATACAAACATAACCTGTAACTGCCTATAAAAAAGGGAATTCGGGATACAGAAGAAATAATAGAATACTTTTATTAGAAAGTGAGCCAGTCAAGTACCTTGCCTGAACTATACAAATCCCTGTAAATTAAATGGCTTTTATGTAGAAAACGGTAGTCTTGACTGTAGTAATGGACTGTGGTTTACATGCATGAGAATCATACAAACCAAATATTAAAAGGCGATTTCAGTGATAGGCTAATTCTTTATGTACTCTGCAATAGTTTGAATAGGATTCAGAGGTGTTCTAAATATTGATGACAAACCTGATGTATTTGAATTTATGGAATAACATAATTATGACCCAAATATGTGGAAAATCATAACTTTTCACTTTTAACTTAAGCAGAGATTGTTTATTCCCAAGTAAGCCAGGATGTTTCAATTCATGTTTCATCCATCTGGAGACCTATGAAAAGATTAGAAAACAAGCATGACAATCACGTCCTAATCTACTGGCCATTAATGGGAATTTATTAGTGAAGAGCAGGCAAGCCATTTAAATTCAGTGTATCTTTCAATATGCAGATTTCAAAATGAGTATTCTGTAGCTCAGCTAAATAGCTTTTTGAAAGCAAAAGTATCTGATATGAAAACGTAGGTGTTAATAGTTGCTCTTAACATGTGACAGACATTGCTAGGAATCTTTAGAGCTATACAATTGTTTCAGCTTGTCTCACATACTACATAATAATACAGTTCTTGAAATATATATGCTAGACCATGACATAAACCTTTGCAATATTCAAAATAGTAAGATGCTCAATGTTAAGCCTTACTTTATATTTTTATTTCTCCATATCCTGAGAGATGATGGAGAGGTAAAATATTTAATTGGCTATATGGCTAATGAACAAACTGCCCATATTCCTAATGTTGGCTATTTCCACTTATTGGGGCTCCCATGATGAGTCTGTGGTATATATGCCAGGCATGGAGGCCAGTCCTGGAGTCAGTTGATATAGCTATGGGCACTGCCCTAGAAGATGCTATTTTAAGAGAGTAACTTCTATAGCTTCTAATTGTGGAAGCATCACAAATGTTCAGTGTCTTGGCTTTCATGATGGGTACTTTGGTTCTAAAAATGCATTTGTATAAGCATAACCACATTAATTTGCAAAGTCATACAAATATGGGGATGATAAACATACACAACATAAAATGCATTACAACTCTCTACTTTCACCAACCCTCACCCAGGTATATACCAACAGAAAGATATTCTCAAAATATCTGGAATTACTTGGGCTTTGACTTAAGGAATTGAATTCATTTGATTCCATGTTTGCTTTATGTAATACATGCCAAATCACTAATGATTCTGCTTCTATGTCTTGGAAAGCAAGGCCATAACATTCTCAATCTTCCAAGACAGCCAAACTCATTAAGGTTTTACATGATGTCAAAAGTGGCATGTGCCTTAGTGATTTCTTAAATTTTTATTCGGTAGTCTATGTTGTGACCAGATAGTTCAAGAAGGAAAAGTAACTCCATGGGAGTGTGTTTCTCTGAATTAGTCTGTAGTTTACATGTGCATTTTATGTATAACCCAATGTAGACATTTCTGATTGTACCTCTTATACCATAATTTGATAGGAAAAATATATGAGCAATTTCCACAGCTTAGTCTTTTGTAAATAATCAGTACTGAAATGCTCACCAAAAAAAAGTAAATAAATAAAAAATCTAGGGAAAAGTTGGCGTCTATGCTGTTAAATCATGTCTTTACTTGGTGTGATATTGTTGTTTCAATTCTTGGTTGGGGGCTTTTCCTAGCAATTCTGGTTTTCTTTACTTTTCAGCCTTTTCTATAGAGTTTACATATATGTGCTCTGTATGTAATTTGGTAAGCATGTTCACACTCATTCCTTAAATGAATAAATCACTGAATTAATGAAAGAGTGTATGTTAATTCTGGAAGTGTTTTAGTCATTGGGGAAAGAGTCAACCTACAGAAATGAGAGTATTGTGATAAACTAGTGATGAGTGCAATGAATATTAAGATTTATTACATTCTCTTGTAGCATATATTTTAAAGAATAGCAACACTACCAAACGTAACACAATTCTGAAAAAACAGTTTTTAAGGTTTACCCGTGGTGAATATGTATTTTATGTAGACTACCTTAGATGTTCATTGAGGGGCATTTGGATAGTAGAACTATACATATTACAGATGCATTATTACATAGATTACTCATTATGAAGGAGAGAAAATGAAGAAAAGGACTCTTTGAAGTGATCATATTCACACTTTGAAAAGTTCTAAGAAAAGCAATGAGGCTAATTAATTAATAAAACAACATTCCCCTCTAGATAGAATAAAGGTGGGGGTGGGGAAGGGCGCGGTGGGGGCAGAAACATCCAGATGTTTTATATGTATTTTTCGTGAGGTAACAATGCTTTTTTTCATAGTTTCATAAGCAAGGCTAGTATCATTTTCTTTCTGTATGAAAACTGATGTTTAAAACAATAGACAAAGGCTCAGCATTTTTATTACAGCAGAGTTGTATACAACATTAGAAACTATTGCTGCGGTGTTTACCTGTGCTGCATTCTGACACACACACACACGCTATATATGCAGTCATTTTTTAAAAACCAGGATGAAGTCCGCTCGCTTAGAGTATTCAGTTTGAACTTACAGGACAAAATACGATGCCCTATCGCCATGGTACATAGATACAAAACATGACTGAGCTGTGAAGCCATTAAAAACACACCACCAGAGCAAATTGTCAATGTAATCACACATCGACTCACTGCGTAATACAGATCTGATTCCCAGCCCTAGAAAGCGAGGCCCTGCTTTAAGCAATAGCAAAGTGCCTTCCATCTGTCTGCCTATGCAATCTGCCAGAAGAGAAATGCAGGCAAAGACGTTCCCCAGATCTGAAATGCTTTTATCTGTCCTTAGAGAGAGATTTCTTCCAGTCTTTGGATATTAGAGCGATCTACACTAGCACGGAGGAGGTAAAAGGCCGCGGGTTGCTTTTCCAGAAGCAGTCTGTAGTGCTAGCGGAAGAGATGTTGATTGAGAAAATAGGGCTTGTTGCAATGCTGCCGCTACTGCTGCTGTCGCTGCCGCTGCTCGGGCAGCAGGCGTGGGGCAGTTGGCTGATCACTGATGCATATCAATAGCCATGTACTTGAGATTTCTCATGACATCATCATTACCTTGGTCTCCCGCGGTCTCGAACCTTTGACCTTGCTGGGCTGGTCCACAATTTGGCAGTGCAAGCCCCTCCAATGATGGCCCTTTTCTCCTTCTTTCAGACCGGGGGCAGCAGCAGGCCAGCAAGACGGCATCTTCTCCTCCCCAGCCTAGAAGCCCTGTGAAATCGAGGATCTTCCCCCTAAAACACACATACACAAGATATGTGCAATCAAGCTGCCACCGCTTGGTAAAAAGCTCATGGTGCCTAACCCAAAAGGATCAGGAGCAGATCCTTGAATCAGCTGTCACTTCTATAGAATGGGATTTTTTTTTCCTTCCTCCTTAACCTGCGCTGGAAATTGCCGTTGGCTTTATACATCTCTATAGAGGGAGGCTAAAGAGTCTTGCGTGAGAATGAAGCAATTTACAATGCAAATAGAGGCCTGTGAAGGGACGGATGCTGCTGCTCACTCCTAACAGCTTGCTGCACCTTAATAGCTGGTTTTATTTTCTGATATTAATAGATGAATCGTTGGCTAACGCTGCCGGAGATTACTTGCTGAAAGGAAAAAAAAAGTTCGGAATAAACTCTGAAGGCAACAGATCTCGTTTGGATGTTTTAGCTGCACACACACAAACAGAAACCAGGTCATATTTGCATAAAAGGAGGAATCTTAAATGCGGCAAGTATCCTGGACGACTATTCGGTACTGCCCGAAAGGATCGGGATCTGGAGTCTGGCAAGAGGAAGACAGAGGCATGTGAGGGAAGCGAGTTGTTATCTTTGGTTATCTAGCTGTATGAGTGTATTGGTCTTCATAAAGCTAGATAACCGAAAGTAAAAACTCCTTCAAGATCGCCGGGGAGCGTGTGAGAATGAAAGACTACAGCCAAGAGACAGTAAAAACAAAGGTCAGGAATACTTATTGAATCTAACTTTTTGTTTTGCTTTTTCCTTATGATTAAAGATGGATGAGAGAAAATTAAGTGCACACATACCCTGAAATATAAAGGTGCCATATATCTTGAGAGGGGTTGTTATAGCTGCAAATGAGAATTGTATAGTGCTAATGAGTAAAGATGCATGTGCAATTTGTTCTCTTTTAAGGTAAAAGTTTATATGTCAGGGATTTTTTTTTTCTTAGAAAGCTGTTGTGGAGATGTCTGGTACCTAGTTTAGAAATGATTCCATAATACGTAGACTTGGGCAGTTCCTTTCTGAGGCCCCCATCTCTCAAAATTTGAAGATTGAGCTTGGAAAATACTTTTCATGTATTTGGGCTGTATGTCAAATTATATGAAATTAGAGTTTTTAAAAAAGTTTATACTGGAAAGTTAATAATGTATATCTACTGAGGACTTAGAGCTAGCAGAGAAAATGGAAAAAAAAAAAAAAAAGCAAAGGCTGATTTTTATTCTTCTATTCAAAATACAAGGACAGATGCTTCTCTGTTCCAAGAGGGTTTCCTTGAGGAAGCTACTGAAGCAGAAAGACATGATGGAGACGAGATCGCCTCCCCTCTTGTCAAAGTGTTAAAAAAATGTTCTGTCTTACTCTGCGCCTAGCATTGGAAATGAAAGTGACATTTACGCCACAACCCACGTGTGCGCCTCCTCTCTTTTTGTTTAAGGATGATCAGGTCTATCCAGGAAACAGCTCTGGCATCCCAAACTGAAATAATTAGGACGTATATAGACCTGACAAAAATGGAAAGGGGGTGGGGAATCTGAGGGTCTGTCTTGCCTAATTGATTCCGCTAAACGGAATGCAGGAGATGTGAACGGCAGGACGCTCCGATTCCCACGCTCGGGGGCAAGTGGTAAAGCGGGGCCCGGCAGCCTATGACAGACAGCCCTGTTGGGGGGTGGGGGTATGAAAAAAACATCAAGTGCACACACCATACTCATCTCCATCGCTTAAGAAAGTAAAGGCATTTCCCACCCACAGCCATCTGCAGCTTCCCAAATGGCAACACCAACTGGTCTGTAGCTGCTGCATACTGTCTGCTTCTGTTAATTTTTTAACCCGTGTTTAATTTGGCTATAATTAAGTTTGGCTTTCTTCTTTGGTTGAGATTTTCAATATTCAAGGAAAGCTAGTAGAAAGCAATTGCAAAAAATCCCATGACTGCCTGCCCCTCACGTCAAATTCTCAGTCTGTACTTATGGCCTTGTGACCCTCTTTTGGCTTTTGTTTTGAGTGGGTTGTGTTTTAAAATAGTTATCTCTATATTACAGTCATTATTATGACTTCATCAGGTTGTTTACATCTTAACGTGATACATCTAGGAACTTGGCCTAATTATGCTGATAGATGCACACTGGAAGTAAAACTATAAAGTCATTAACTTAGAAAATTGATTGCAATAACAATATGATAAAAGGTGATAGGGAATAATCTCAGCTAGATGGTTCTAAACAGTCATTTTTAAAGTCTAAAAATAATTATGTCTAGCAGAAACTTTGGAGGTCCCCCATTGTAATCCTTTCCTAAAAGTCCTTAGGTTTTTCCACAAGTCACCAAACAAACATTTGTGTAGGCATTTACACATAAATACAGCCACTGCAATAAGAAAATGTCCAAAATGGCCTGTTATCTTCCACATGGCCTAGATTATTGACAATCCCAAATATACAGTTTTTCTTCAAAAGCAGTACATTTTCCTTTGTAGCTTCAACTCCTTGTAAGACTTCAGACTGAGAAGCCTGTAAAACCACTGTTAGTTTCAGTTAGAAACTCTGAGAGACTTTATTAACCTAAATTCTCAATTTGGCTGCTGAACACGTGCCAAAGTTTTACTACTGTAGTGACCGTTGAGAAGACCCTTGTTTATTTACATTTGAAGCACTGTTTGTGCAAACAACCTTTCATTGTTAAGTGCCTGTATTCCTTTCATTTACTTCGTGTCCAGGGGTGCTATTTACCTAGAACCATTGTCTACTACAATTAACATTTACATTACAAAGTGTGTGGTTTTCTTTCTCAAGGAGGTTCAATTAAGGCAATAAGATGTTTGCTGGGGAAACCTATTGTTTACTGAAAGCACTCAATGGAGTCAAATTACTGAAGCTTTTGCCTACATCTTGGTCTTTTATGTAAATATGTTAAATATAACATCTAAGGAAAATAAACAATATTATAATTATGTGTTTGCCATTGTCATATCAAACTTGCTTTGTATCATACTAATGTTACATAACTTATCGATCAATAAAAATACATTTCAATGTTATTATTTTCATTTTATTTTTTGCTGTTCCACTGCTCTTGCTGCAACATGTCCCAATTTTTCTTTTTCCTATTACACATCAAACTTCTGACATTTTGTTTTATTTGTGTGTGTTGAAGAGAGTTACTGTATGTAAGCATGAGTCTGAAGGGTGTCCGAGATAATCTCTACAATGACCTTATAATAAGGTGATATTTCTTTGAAATCTGAAATATTCCAAAGGCATGTACATTTAAGTCAAAAGAAGTGTAAATATCAGTTAAGTAGTTCTTTGAAAGCTAGTTTTAACATTGGCAGAAACCGGATCAAGTTTATTTAGCATACCACTGCATTGTAAAACAGTTGGAGTGAAGTTGCAGGTTGCGTGAGTATGCATGTTAACTAGTGGGAACCAAGCGCAGTCTTTGTGAAAGGGGAGCAGCAGATTGCTGTGCAAGGCCAATGTTAAAAAGGCAGCTGAATTTAACACCATCTGGAAGAAAAGATCCCTTCACGACTTTCTCACACCGTCAGACAAAACTAGTGTCTCTTGTTCCGAGCCCTTGTCTATGCAACCATACAATACTGAGTCATTATACTTTTGCTGAGAGAAAATTTGAGAACACAATATGGGTAACCAGTGAATGACCAAGTTTCATTGTGCCCGCTTAAGTCGATTGAAATCTACGTCTAGAGCTATGAATGGTAGTATTGTTTTCCTCACCAGGGCTGTACTAAATGTCAGCACAGTGTAAAGAAAAACTGTAAAGAAAAGTCTGCAAATAACTTACCAGATCTCAATTATAATATTTTCCCACACTAGAACTAATATCATTGCGAGGGGCTACATTGCAGAAAATACAAAAAGAAACGAAAAGAAATAGAGAGTTCATTTAGAAGTTATTTTATCCAGACAAACATTTTAATTTTCTGATGGGAACTTCAATTCAGGCTGCAGGCTGGGTTGAGAGGTGGAATTCATTACTGGGAAGTTCAAGTTACAAAAATGCTTCTCATGCAATTAAAATAGAATAAAACAAACACCTAGTCCCACCTGAAACCCTCTCTTCTTAAATATAAATGGACTCTACTTGGGTTTTATTGCTACAGTTCCGCTTAGAATTGCTAGTATGAATCCAGCTTAAATTCTGCCTTAAATTATGGCACACTGCTCTTTCAAAGTTTGCCACTATGATTGACATTGCAACAGAACACCATAAACATACATTTCCAAAATTATACAAGAACATTCTGGCACCTCCTTAGGTGGATTCCGGTGGCCTCAGAAATACACTTCCCCTTTATGTTACACCCCTCCCCCCATTTTCTAACTTTTTTTCTCATGATGTGTGTAAATCAGTTACCCTTAGGTTTAACATTCACACAATCTATTTGACTGTAAACAGCCAGAAAAAGGAAACAAAACAGTTCAAAAGGAGTAAAAGGAGTTGGTTGTGTATGTTTTATTAGGATGTCTATTTTAAATGTAATTGACTTTGCAATTTTGTTATTGTGTCACCAAGTGTCTCATAGTTCTTAACATGTAAGTGCAAAACAATGAGTAATTGCTGTTTTGCTGAATAATACATCTGAGTTGCCAACGTCAAAGGTATTATTTTGTGTATTTTTAAACAGGAACGTTAACTGCAGGTTTTGACATCTAGAATCTTTTCATGAAATACTTAGAAATAGGCTGATAAAATGATACCTGTAAAAGTAAATATAAAGATATAACTAACTTATTTTCCTTGTCCTACTTTATTATACTAGAAAGTTAACAATGAAAGGTCATTCAATAATCGAATGCTAAAGGATATAACAAACACAGTCATACAAAAAAAAAAATCCAAAACAAGAAGAAAAATGGAAATTGGATAGAGGTTAAAACAAAAGATATATAGGAAGACTTCTGCAGTATTCTGCGGAATGTGAATTGGGTATATTCACCAGTATTAATCCCCTATTGAAGTTGCCATTAATGTGCATAGTAATGAGATAAATGCATTATTTACATTCAAAATGGAATATTTTTCCAAAGTGGCATATCTTTAAGTCTTCTTAAACACAAAGAACACTTTTTACTACTAGTGCTCTCTATGTTTATTTTAAAAATGAAAATAATTTTCTTGTTTGGAAAAATATGAAATTCTAATTTGATTTTGTGTAGTCTGATGAAAATTAAGAAACCACTTAAATAATAAGAGAAAAAGATGAGTACATTTCAAGTTCAGAAACATTCTTTCCATTCCTAGACTACATATAAACACTTTAGGATATTTTAGCATTTTAAGAATTTTGACTTTTTAAAAATGGAAAGATGAAGCCAAAGGTTTTATTTTCCAATGTGGCTAGAAAATGAATGAAAGTATGTGTGTAACTATCTCTGTATCTATTTTTCTGTAAATCTCTACCTCTGGAAATGTTATTGTGGTTTAAGAATATTGACAACCTTTCCCACTATATCTTGCTGTGACTTTCCCCTCTAATTTGCTAGAGTAAGTAAAACACACCATAATGTCTTGTATTTGGCTGGGCGCTGGGGGTAGTAGCGTGAAAAGGGGCGACATGGGACAAGGTGTCCTTTAAGAACTAACTAATTGGAATCGAAGTTATTGAGTAAAAAGATAGCTATAGTACTGGGTCAATTGTTTTAACATTAGTACTTGGAGACAGTTTAACAGGTCTACAGCAATGGGACATGTAAGGCAGTTCTTCAGTGTCTCTGGATTTTAATGGATGGCTTTGTTATCCTGTTTTTCTGTTCATCGGTTTCTTAACACAAGTTAAACAAGCTAGTATAGAAATCAGCAGAAACCTCCAGTCCCCTTTTGCCCAGAGAACCCATTTTACCCCTTCTGGGAATTGTTCAACTTTTTTTGTGGAATTAATTCCAAGATGGTGAATGAAAATGAAAAGTATATACTTGTGATTGATGCTAAGGAGTATCTGCCTGCCCTCAATCAGGGCCTCGAGAGTTAGTGCACTTCCTTAGAAAGGTAATGACCATCTTTGAGGTGGGAGCATGTAGCTTTCCTCTTTGCAGCCAACTGCCAGACCACAGGGAGCAGGGCTTTTAAAAAGTGCAGATAATCGACTTTATTCAGGGAAATATGGAATTTTGAGCCATATTTGCTCAAAGGGAAGCACATCACTGTACTTGGTGGTTTGACTCGGTTTTAGCTGAGCGCGGGCACAACGCATTCTGGAGATCTAAAAATAGCCAGGCTTAGCAGCCGCCTTGCAAGGTGCTTGGCGTGGGCGGTGCACAGAGGAGACAGCCGACGCTGTGACTGGCTGCAGAAGTGGCTGGGCTAGGCAGTGGCAGCCACGAAGGCCGCCGGCCCGCCGCTGGGCAGAACGACGCCTCCGGGTGACCGCCAACTGCCCGAGTCCTCCCGCAGCTGCGGCTGCTCGGAGAGCTCTCCGGAAAGCGGGCGTCTGATTGGTGTTTCCCGGGAGACGGGCTGCCCTAGCAGCCGGAGCTGGTGCGCCGGCGCGCGCGCTCCCGTGGCTGGCGCGCGGCTGGGAGGCTGGGGGCGCGCTGCAGCCCGGATAGCGGGCTGGGAAGCCTCCCAAGTTCGCGCGAGCTCAAGTTCCCGCGCCCGCCCTCCGCGGCTTGGAGGCCGCTGACCCGCGCAGCGGGACCAGGCACCGTCCGGGAGTCAGCCCGTCCTTTGCCTGGCACGCTGAGCTGCGTCCGCCAAGGCTACTCTGTGGTCGTTTTTTTTTTTTATTATTATTTGCCTCCCCCTCCGCCCCTCACCAGCGACCTCGGCCTCTGCCTATGCGCCAGCTCGGGCCTGCGGTTGCTTGGGAATCCCTGAGTTGGGCTTGTGAATGGGGATGGTGTCGAGGTTTAGTCTCGCCCGGACGTCTGTGAGAGGCGGGCATCTTCCAGCTGCCACCCTCTGGCTCAGGGCCCCATCCTCAGGGTACCAGGCAACTTGTGGTCAAGGGGCTTTCTTCTGCTGACACTCGGTTTCTGTGGTTTTGCCCAGGCTTCTTCCTTGGATATGATCAATATCATTGATAAAAATATTGTGCCCCCCCTCCCAGCACACACGTGTTTTTAACCTAGTGAAAAGCTGCTAACGGAAAGGGTGTCCCCGCGGGGAAGCTCCTGGGGGAAAGTTTTGTTCGGGAGACGGGGGTGGGTGAGCGCTCGAGACTCTGGGCCCTTCCCAGGGGCAACTCCCATCTCTACGCCCATTGCCCATTAGGAGCGCAGGGCGCATCTTCCCCCCATCATCAGATTTGCTGGAAATATTAATCTCCTTGTTGGGTGGATACAGTAGAACTTGTTCAGAGATTACTTTAAAAAGAGATCTGGGTCTTAAGCACTTACTAAAGCCAGTTAATAACATCATGCATGGACATTTAAACTTGTTGTAAGTTGCAGAGAGGATTAGCGGGAAGTCACGCTGTGCGCAGCTAATGATACCATCTTAACTCTAACCGGGCTAAATCCATCTCGCCGGGCGCAGGTCCGGCTCTGCAGCCCTCGGGTGAGGATAGGAAAGAGGGTCTAGAAAGAGCGGAAGGAGGGCGGAGACCGGAGGAGCTGCCTTGGTCCTTGCTTAGGGTGAGGGTCCTGGGAGGCCGCAGGCTGTCCTGCTCCTGGGCGGGCACTAGCCCCGAGACTAGGGCCCAGGCTTCCTGATGCACACCGACGCACCACAGCCCGTGGGCTGTGCTTCAGTGACACTGAAGGGCACGGACCAACATGCCAAAACATTTTTGATTCCGTTAGTCAAAGGGTGCTCAAGGTCTATTGCAAGTTCAGGTGAAATCGCAAGATTCCAAAACTGGTGGTTTTCTTGGCTACTGGTCGATTTGCATTATAAAGACCGTTTACTTTCTATTCTACTTTTACAAAAGTAGTCAAGCTCAGTACTTCACAGGTAAATTTCAAAGTATATTATTAACAACTTCCTGTCATAGGCTTACTCAGCTAGTTTCAAACTGATTACTGTTTTAAGGCAGTTTGCGACTACTTTATGACAGGGCCAATTAGAAA